TCTATTCCTGTTTTAGTTTGATCGATTTTATCAGGAGTAGGTTCAGGAGGGATTTTTGGATTGGGTTGTTTTTTATCTTCATCATCAGGGATTTCGTCGGGTTCACCGGGTTTATTTTTTTTAATTCATTTGTCAATTTCCTCTAAAAGATATTCCTTCCCTTCTTTGATGTGTGCTTCTGAAACTGAAATAATAGATCAATCCATCCTATGATTAGTTTCCCACGTATTACCTAAAATTTTCATTTCTTGCTCATGGGTAATTCCATTCTCAGATAATTTGTCCTTAATCTCTTGGATAGATTTTTTAATTAATTCTTCCCTGTCATTTACCGGGTCAGAAGTCTCTTCTTCTTTCTTCTTCTCTACTTTTATAGTGTCATTATTATTGCAAATCACTCCTAACTCACCATTTTTTAAAATCGTTAAACTATTAGGAATCTTATCTCCTGGACCATACACCCTACCAGCCTCATTAATTGGAATTCTTTTATCTTTCACTTCATTATCTTCAAAATCCATTTCATAAGTCTCACCTTCTTGAATTATCTTTTTAATTTCTTTTATCTTACCTCAAAAAACTATTTTTTTAATTTGTATTTCTTCACCACTAAAAAGAAGTTTTGATTCGCTAACATTAAGTGCCAATGGAGGAATTTCATCGACGGCACCTGCAGTTGCGACATTGAGTTCTATTATATTATTTACTTTAAATTCAATTTTTGACATACTTTTTTTTTCTTTATATCTATTTTACAAAAAAAAAAAAAAACAGTGGGGTTTAGGGGGATTGTTTTTTACTCGATATAATTTTTCGCCCATATTTTACCTGCCTTGCTTATCTTTTGTTTTGCTAATTTTTTTCATTCGTTAATTTCCTTATTCCGTTGCTTTCCTTTGTTAGCCAAAGAAATATCACAAAGTCACACTTTCTCCTCGGTTAGATTCAATTTCATAATCCATATTATTTTGGTCTAACGAACTTTTTATTTTCTCGCTTTCGCTAGTTTTAATTAATAATATTTCTTTCATAGTTTATCTATTTTTAATGACAAAATTTATTAATTTATTTTTAACATGTATTATTTTCACAATTTTTTCTTCGGTTAATGCCCTATTTATCTTTGGCTCTTTTTTGGCTAGTCCTTCAATTTCCCTTTGAGCAGCATCCTTACTAACTGAAATTATTGCTTTTTTTTGTCCATTAACTTGAACTACTATGTTTATTTGAGAATGAGAAAAAAATGACAAGTTTTCTGTCTGTGGAAAACCGCTTTCGCTAATTGTTTTTTTTTTATCTTTAAATTCTCCGAAATAACTTCACATTTCCTCGCTAATGTGAGGAGCAAGTGGACTCAATAATTTCAAAAATCCGAGAAAACATTCTGTTGGCATGCCTTTTATTCCTACTTTGTAGCACTCATTAATAAATACCATCAGGGAGGAAACAACCAAATTCAGTTTAATCTTTTCATAATAAATGTTGACTTTTATAACCATTTCATAGTAGGCATTTTCTATTTCAGGATTGCGGATATCGCTGAGAACTGCCTCTCGGTAGAGGGCAAAAAAGTTGTAAACACGGTCTAATCATTTTTTCATGGCTCGCACACCATTAGGGTCAAAACTGGTTGTTTGTTCTGGAGGGCCCAAAAAAATTTCATAAAGTCGCAATGCGTCAGCACCGTATTTTTCAATTAGAGGGTCAGGATTGACTACATTTCCTCGCGATTTTGACATTTTTTCCCCATCGGCCCCCAAAATTATACCCTGACAAATAAATTTTTGAAAGGGTTCCGGCTGAGAAACCACTCCTATTTTATACAAAATTTTATGTCAAAAACGAGCATATAACAAATGTAAATTAGCATGCTCTTGCCCTCCGATATAAATATCAACCGGTAACCATTTTTTTATAATTTCTTTTGTTTCTGGGCTGTTAAGGGCCGAATAAGAGTTATTTTTTTTCAGCAAAAAAGCAATATAATATCAGCAAGATCCAGCTCATTGGGGCATGACATTGACATCTCTTTTTCCTTTTAGTGTATTTCTTTCAACCTTTACTCAATTTTCTGCTTTTTGTAAAGGAGCGTAATAATTCGGGTTAGGAGCAAAATCGGTTAGAGGAGGGAGAACAAGTGGTAAATCCTTTTCGGATACAAGTTCTTTTTGGCCATTTTCCCAATGAATAACTGGAATAGGCTCGCCTCAATAACGCTGCCGAGAAAAAACTCAATTCCTTAAATGGTAAGTCTCAGTTCTTTTACCGGCTTGTTTTTTTTCTAGTTCTTGGTTAATAATTTCTATGGCTTTGTTTTTATCCTCCTTGGTAAGCAGAAAGTTAGTTTCAGGGCAATTACAAAAACCGGTGCCGCAATCAATCTCTTCTCTTAGTTTAGAGAGTCGACATTTCGGACAAGTTTCGCGATAATACCAATTATTTCTTTTTCCTCCAAAATATTTTCAATAGAAACCTATAACTCCTCCCCTTAACAGTTCATACTTCTCAGCAAAAGCAAAATCAATTTCTTTATTTTGTCTCTTTTCTTGTTCGGTAAAAATTTTTTCTGGTTCTAAAATTTCTCTTTCTCAGTCTTGTTCGTTGGAAAA